TGCATGGAATAGCTTTAGCACAGAACCAGATATTACAACCACATGACTGCACAGATGGTATAACAAAACCCAAGTGCATGACTGCTAGCTCATCTATAGGCAGTCCTAAGTCAGGATAAACGGGGAGGAACGGAGAAAGAGCTGGTGACTTACTCAGTACTCAGTCACAAAACCCTATGGCAGTGTTTCCCAAACTTGACAATTTTAAGGCATGTGGACTTCAACTCCCAGAATTCCACAGCCAGCATTGCTGGCTGTGGAATTCTGGGAGTTGAAGTCCACATGCCTTAAAATTGTCAAGTTTGGGAAACACTGCCCTATGGAAAAGGTCAAAGACAATACCAGAAAGAGGGACACGCAGGAAAGAAAACATTAAACATGCTACTAAGGAAGACCAATGACCTGCTGTAGATAGTCTAATAAATTAAAATGTGGGAAGGGAAGAAACCCCCTTGGAGACCCTGAAAGCTGATCAAGTCTGTGAGAAAAGGAATAGATTGCACCGGAAGAAAATGAACAAGATTGGCATGTGAAAGGTATGAAGAACAAACCATGACAAGCTGGATACTATCCAGAAGGAAATGAGAAGGACAAAAATAGGCCAAAATAGATGGACTGGACTGGAGACGGCTACTTTCAGTCAGATGAATTGACGATACCAATAGGACAGAAAGAATGGACTAGCACTGATTACAGACAAGAAAGCCAGCAAATCAGGTGAAAGCAGCCAGCTGCCATTATGACAGAATAATGGCTAATCAGATCCAAGTTCAACCTCTCACAATTTTCCTAATATATGCACCAACCACAGATCCATCTAAAGGAGGAATGAAACGCTGTTGGATCGCTATTTAAGAAGGATTACAACAGCCACCCAAAGCAAATGTAACAGCCATCATGGAAGGTCTCAACAGCAAAATTGGAGACAAAGAAGAAGCAGAAATAGTTAATAGATCTGATTTAGAAGAAAGCTTGTTGCAGTTCTGTCAAGAAATCAACCTAAAAAACATTTGTAGATATGACATCTCCAAATGGACTCTACAACAACCAAACTAGCCAAAATCTGTTTTAGATTCAGTTTCTGCAACATCAAAAAAGAACACTGCTCCAAGGAAATATAACATTGAAAAAAATCCATCTGCACATGCAATCCTAGTAAAGAACACGTTCAACTTATTTAATTTCACTAGAAAATCTTTGGATGAACTCTGGGAAGAAATGAAAAGCATGCTCAGGAGAGCCCAGGGTCAAGGCTTGTGCAAAAAAAAAAAAAAAATGCATACAAATAAGCAAATGGCTATCAGAAGAACCATCCAAACTCTTGAACAGAAGAGGAAGGGTAAAGCCTTGATGACATAGGTGAAACAAGCCAGCTAAATGCAGAATTTCAACATAAATTTAAAAATGACAAAGTTCTAGAATGAGCATTGCAAAGAAATGGAGGAAAGAAACCCATAAACTATTTACTGCATGCAAAGGACCAATAGCAGTAGAGATGGGAAAGTAATGAATGATCAGAAGCAAACAGAGATGTCAGGAAGACACTGAGGAATTGTATACAACTAGTCATTTAAAAAAAAAAGCCTGTAACAAATAGTAATCTGAAGGAGAACTAGATATACCAGCAAAGGAGGTAGCACTGAAACAACTGCCCAAAGGAAAGTCCTCTGGACCATCAGAATAATACCAACAGCAGCAATTGCAAAGCTATGTTAAGAAACATGGGACACCAATGAATGGCTAAAAGACTGAGAATGATCAGGGTTCATCCCAATCTCAAAGAAGAATGACTGCTGCAAATATGGCTCTATTACCCCGGTTCATATGCCAGCAAAATTTGGTTGAACATCCTATAACAATGTAGGGTCCAACCTGGGAAAAAGAACTTGCTTGACGTACAATACAGTCTGGTTTTAGAAGAAGAAGAGAAAGTGCCTTGCAAATGTTCACTGGATCATGGAAGAAGAAGAAGAAGAAGAAGAAGAAGAGGAAGAGGAAGAGGAAGAGGAGGAGGAGGAGGAGGAGGAGGAGGAGGAGGAGGAGGAGGAGGAGGAGGAGGAGGAGTATGCCAAATGCAGTCTGAACATCTGGCTAACTGTGCGATTAATAATAATAATAATAATAATAATAATAATAATAATAATAAAGTTGGAAGGGACCTTGGAGGTCATCGAGTTCAACCCCCTGCTCAAGCAGGTAACCCTATACCATTTCGGACAAATGGCTGTCCAGTTTCTTCTTAAAAACTTCCAGTGTTGAAGCATTCACCGCTTCTGGAGGCAGGTTGTTCCACTGGTTAATTGTTCTAACTGTCAGGAAGTTTCTCCTTAGTTCTAGGTTGCTTCTCTCCTTGATTAGTTTCCATCCGTTGCTTCTTGTCCTGCCCTCAGGCGCTTTGGAAGATAGCTTGACTCCCTCTTCTTTGTGAATAACCATATTCAAATTTTATATACCATAGCAAACTGCACTGAACAGGACAAATTATGGAAGTACCCAAAGGAAATGCACATTCCAGAACACTTAAATTAACCCTCTGTCAACTATTTTATGGAGATACAGACTAGTTCAAGATTGGAAAAAGTGTATAGCAGGACTGTATTTAAGCACTTTTCTATTCAGTTTACACATAGAGACAATTTAGATTAATTGGAAATGGAAATAAAAATCGGCAGCAGAATCATTAACAGTTTAAGATGGCACCACTCTGTTGCCAGAAAACAAAAAGATATAAAAGTCCTTATCTTAAAAGTCAAGATAGAAAGTGGAGGGGGAAAATGGATTGCATCTAAACCAAGGTTTCTCTATCTTGGCCAACTTTAACATATGTGGACTTCAATTCCCAGAACTCCCCAGCCAGCTGTGTTCGCTGGAGAATTCTGGGACTTGAAGTCCACACATCTTAAAGTTGCCAAGGTTGGGAAACCCTGATCTAAACGATGGTGATATTAAGATAAAAACTGGCAATGAAGAAACTGAATCAGTTCAACACACACATACACACACCCTTTGGTACATTTGGTGAAGTGTGCATAGGCAAGTAAAATTATAAACACTGAATGTGACGAGTATTAGTAACTATTATGTATTTCCTACACATATGCTCATAGCTAAACTATAATAGCTTGCAAAGACACACACGGATGAATGATCACTCATTGTTTCTGCATAATGAGTGAGGTTAAATGGATTAGTTAAGAGGGATTATATCTGGGCAACACGCCACCCTCCCTTCCCCTGAAGGAGGGTGGCATATATTCTCATGCTGTACATCTGTACTGTAGCACATTCCCAAAACTATTGTTCATAAACCCAGAAGAAACTTCTGTCTGCTTGGGTGTGTAGGTGGTTGAAAGAAATGACTTTGGCAAACAGGCAGGGCTCCTATCTGTTTGCTATTAATGTGGCACACATACATCATTATGTCTTCCAGAAATTGCATAAGAGTTAAGGGTGAGGGCTTAGATAGATCTTACATGAGGCACGTCCAGCCCATGACCCACAAACAAATTGCGACCCAGAAGATAATAAAAAAATAATTAAAAAGGAAGTTTGTCATTTGTATACATTAACTGTATCATATATTTTATATGTGGACCAAGATAATTCCTCTTCACTCAATGCATCCCAGACAAGCTAAAAGATTAGACAACCATGTCTTACATATAACAGAACACACAACTTGTACAAGATCTATTGAAGGTCCCATTCAAAACAGGGGCCAGCACAGCAGATAGTCCTGGTGCATTGAACTTTAGCATTAACAAGGCCTAATCACCCACAAGATGAATACATTTCACCTTAAGAAATTTCTAAGGGAGAAATTCTCCCTTAGGACAATTGTATTAAAAACCAGTTTATGATTTTAGGTAGGTAGTTTATAAGTTTAGATAATCATTTTACAATTTTAGATAGTTAGCATGAAGCAGCAGCATCTTTGTCAGTAATCTATCAAGGATTCTAAGGTGTGAGTAGTAATAATCAAGAATTAGCAGTGGTTTTTTTGTAAAAAAAAAAAAAAAGGTGCCGGAACTCACACACTTCATACAACCTGCCTTGCCTACCCTACAAGGTTCCATCCAAAAAAGGTGCCGGAACTCCGTTCTGGGCATTCTATGAGAAAAAAAGCCCTGAGAATTAGTGTTGGCAATCTTTGTACTTGGCAAACAGATGTAATCCTTTATTTTGGCCACAAGGGATATTGAGTCACAAGGCAGCCAACACCAATTAGCTCTACCTTGCAAGTTGAGTATCAGGATAAATGATGAGTACCGGGACAAAATGTTCACATCAAAATGCATTGAGTACCAAATTTGACCAATTTTGAAGCAGTCAAATAGCTCCCATTTGAGCTACCACTGTATATGTGAAGATAAGGTTCATGCAAATAAACCTTAATTGTTTACTGCTTAATAGTGGTAGTCCAGATTTTTGCAGTCAATATATAGAAACCTTAGATAAATGGCATTAAGGTAATCCTCAACATGACCATAATGCCCATAAATCATGATGCTTATAAAGGGGATTATCATGTGATTGACCTGATTTTCTGATTTTTATTTTTTTGGGGAGTAGTCATTAAGAGAACCCATTTTTGTTATGGAGCATTTTTGCCAAAACCTGGAAGTAGATGCCAATTTTTTGCAAAAACCTCATGAATCATGTTTTTGTTGTAAATTGCAGTCACATGATCACAGGAAGCTGCAAACAGCTGTAAAAGCAGGCTGGTTACCGAGCATTTTAAATGCGGTCACACGATGGGGGGGAGAACTTTGGAACATGTTGAATCCCACCTTTTGGGGGAATCTGTCATAAGTCGAGGACTAGCTGTGTCCCTTAATTGTTGTCTTTCCCATAAATTATTTCTCCTCTCATGGCTTATTTTTCATAGACTTGCGATTCTTAACTCCACAAAAACACCCCATGTTTCCATTATTTTACTAAGCACTTAGAACATATGGAATAAGAAATCATCTTTATTAGTTCATCTTTATTTTGCACATTAGCTCTCCCAGTAGATTATATGTTTTAGTTTAATGCAATTGCGTTCCTTCCCCTCCCCCTTAAAAAAAAAGCTCCTTAGCACCAGACAAGCTTCTGCAGACAGTAAAGCAGAAAAAGGAAACTGAGAAAGAATTGAGGCGTTTTGTTGTGGCATTCGATCGGATCTCTAGAAGATAATTTCTGGCAACTTAGAAGTGGTTTTCCCCTGCGTTCATGGCTATCTGTAATGGAGAAAACAGGTTTTGTTAATGAACAGTGATATTACTGTGGCATTAATAAACAGAAACTAATCACTAATGAAACAGCATAAAATGGCGGGGAGACTGGTAACTTGGCAGCCCTGCTTTTTGTTATGCCTTGGCTTATAACAGTAAGGACAGTGGTGGGATTCAGCTGGTTCGCACCAGTTCAGCAGAACCGGGAGCTAATTTTTGGTTGCCCAGGCCCAGAATGGATTTCCGGAAGTGGCATCCACACAGAGAGCCGGTTGTTTACCTATTTGAATCCCACCACTGAATAAGGATGCTATATTGTAGGAAAATAGTGATTTGAAAAGACAACCTGAGAATGAAATAAACATTTTTCTAATGAAAGTCATTTGCTTTAAAGAGGAAAGAGAGATCATGCCAGTAGCAAGCTTAGCTGATAGCTCCTGGATTGCCAGTATTCAGTACTGGATTTACTCAATGGGGATTGGAAACATTCCTCTTGGCAATTCCTCTAGATTTCCAATCTGCTTAGATCTCCATACATAAGTTTAAAGCTTTTAATAATGATGATGATGATAAAGTTGGAAGGAACCTTGGAGGTCATCTAGTCCAACCCTCTGCTCAGGCAGGTAACCCTATACCATTTCGGACAAATGGCTGTCCAGTCTCTTCTTTAAAACTTCCAGTGTTGGAGCATTCACCGCTTCTTGAGGCAGGTTGTTCCACTGGTTAATTGTTCTAACTGTCAGGAAGTTTCTCCTTAGTTCTAGGTTGCTTCTCTCCTTGATTAGTTTCCATCCATTGCTTCTTGTCCTGCCTTCAGGCGCCTTGGAGAATAGCCTGACTCCCTCTTCTTTGTGGCAGCCCCTGAGATATTAGAACACTGCTGTCATGTCACCCCTCGTCCTTCTCTTTATTAAAGGGATGTGCTTACTGATGGCCACTTCTCTCCAGTATAAATGTTGGCTCTGAGACCTGTATGAAACTGGGCATCAGTAGGACTGCATGCTGCTCTCACTATTGCTACTTCACACTGGAACAGGTCTGTTAAAGTGCCACTTGCTACGGGCAGATTCTTGTCTCCTCCTGTATCCCCTGGCATGCCTTGTCTTTCTGACAGGGCTGTTTCCCACTGGTCTCTTCTCAGTTATGTAATTCAAGATCACTCCCCACTGTTGTGAATGCAAGAGTGTTGTGGGTCTCCTTGCCAAGACTGGTCATTTGTTAAGCACCTAAAAGGCTCCATAGAAGCCAATGCACCCCTTCAACTCAAAAGGATTGCCCATTTAGAAAGATAACCAATATATTTCCAATAGGTTTAATGGGGAAAATAGGATAATATTGATTAGGGACAATAAGAATTCAGAACTAAGAAAGCTGCAGAATATTGTATTACATTAATATAGCGAGTACTTCTAATTCTTATTTATTCATCTCATAGCTACTGAAACATTTATACGGACCCCTTTTTTATCATTCAAATTCTATCAGTTAGGTTGGCAAGCTCCCACCAAGTTTTAGGCAGAGTTTCTTCTAACAATACCATGATCTACTAAAACATTCCCTATTTAGGTGAGGAGTATGTAACAAGTACCCTTCTAAGTTATGCGCGTCATATGTTGAAGACCTGAGGGCACCCACAAGTATGAAGTGGAGCAGTTCTATTGCTTACAGATCCGTGTCTTCTATGACATCAGGCTTGTCCAAAGTCTCTTTCCTTCTTTGAACAGCATCCAGAATCTTTTTCCTGGGCCCCAGCGGAATGTTGATACTTTTCAGATCATTGTCTGAACACAACATCAGAGCTTCCAGATCAATCTTCTCCTTCTTAAAGATAGAAATAAACTCAAACATATTCAAAGAAGCCAGGAAGGTCTCCAGAGGGCTAGTGTCGGGTTCGATATCATCATCCAGACCCAGTTCCACTTCATCCCAGGGCAAGTCCTCCAGATTCCTCTCCTGCAGGCTGTTGGCACTGCCGATACTGTCGTTAAGACTTGGCGAGCATTGAAGGCGGCTGTGAAGCTTAACACTCATCCTGTCTGTATTGCCTTCCCCCAAAATACTGGGTTCACTTTGACCAATCCCAAATAGACCGCTACTGACATAGTTCCTCCGGAAAACCATGGTACCAAGTCCAGGCCGATTGAATAAAGAGTCATGGCCAGAATCAGTACTGACCTCAGAATGGGTGGAGTCCATGTGCAAACCTGGGTCACTTATGGCACGGGAGACAGTATCTTCATCAGACAGAAACATATCTCTAACATTTCGCCGAGTCCATTCCTTTGGGCTAATATAGGTGCCTTGTTTCACAAACATGACATCGTTGCCCAGCTGTAAGCCAGACAAGGACCTCACGCTTTTCCTCCCATCCTCATAAATTTTGAACGTCCCATCCACCTGTTTCTTTTTCTCCAGTTTCTTTTGGATTTTTGTCTTGCCCTTGGCTGTGCCCTGTATGGTGGCCTGAGAGTAAGGCAAGGAATTCATCATGGACACGTGTGGCAGTCTCCTACTCAGGGTGCTACTGGAGTAGCTGGAGAAACTCATCGTGTCCGAGCGGTCAGACATCTCTTTCTTGTATCGCTTCTCCATCCTTTCATGATGTTTCTTCTGCATCTTTACACAGTCCTTAATGCGTTTCTCTGCATCTTTAAAGGCTTTGTCCTTCAACTTGCTCACCAGCTTCGGATTGAGGCTGCTTTGCTTTGCAGCAATGGAGTCCAAGTAACGCACACACTCCATGTGACCCTTCATGGCGGCCATGTCCAACGGTGTGTGGTAGTCATTGTCCAGACACCAGATATTGGCCCCAAAAGACACCAGGAAGGAGAGGCAATTCAGGTGGCCATTGGCTGCTGCCAGATGAAGAGGTGTGTTCCCCCAGATGTCACATTTGTCTGGATCACCCCTAAAATGGTGTGAGAAACAGATAGTAAGTTCTCAAAGAGGTCTGCAATCTCATTTTGTAGATATTCTTTTAGACTTACAGAAAATACCAAAATCAACTTTCCATAAGTTGGTTACTTTCCAGTTGTATGGACTTCAATTCCCATTCTCAACAATGGTTATGGTGGTTGGAGAATTCTGGGAGTTAAAGTCCATAGCTGTGGAGAGCACCCAGTTTGGAGAAGGCTGGCACAGACTAGTCTGTCCCTGCTTTGTGCCTTCTGAGTGCATTAGGAGATCAAGTCTCAGAACATTTACCCAGCTGCCATCCTGGCTGAGAATTCTGAGTTTTTGTCCCATCTAAAAGGCATTTGAGGAAGGCTAACAAATACAGATAATTTTACATTATTGTTACTACTTTATCATATTTATGCTGTTAAACTGTTATTTTTCAAGCATTTTTTGAAGGAGGAAGTGGTGCCCAACAGTAATATTTGTAACATGGTTTTTATAAGCTGGGAAGTGTATACGGTATCTGTGAAAAGAGAAATACCTTATGCATTTCACATTTAAATAGATAACTGAGCACATGTAGCACACATATCAAGCCTCATGTACTGCAAAAATAATACTTGGCAACTTTTACATTTAGTTCATTTATTTTACTGTACATTCTGCTCATTCAGAAGCTTACGCAACATACTTGGCCCACTTCCAATTCCCTATCTTATGCTTTCTCACTAAAATGAGAGAGATTAGCTCCAGGGTCTCCTTCAACCTTAAATTAGACATCTTTTCTACACGTCCTGCCTGAAAAGATTGCTCTGCGGGTAGAATAGGAAAGAAAAAAGAACTTAGATGCTTCTGTAGAAAAACATGGCAATAGTAGAGTCCAAGTAAGGCTTTTGCAATACTTCTTAGCCTCTTTGAAATGTATAAGACAAGATAGGAGGCATATTCCTCTTTCTTTGCGTGGATATTTGGGCAGCTTCCCAACGTTAACGAGTGCTAAAGGGACTGTGACGTGGATTTTGACACAAATCTTGACATCTCAAAACACATCCGTGACATTTCTCATTCACTTTGATAATGTGGGGAATGCAAAGACCCACAAGAAGGGAAGTTGCCAGACAAGAGATTGTGGGGAGCAGAGTTTCTTTTGGTTAGTGACTTCCCTGCTGAACAGAACCACTTAGGTTCTGTTCATTTGAGCTACTTGCTTAGCCCACCCTCTCTCCCCTGCCTTGATACTGACCTATCAGTAGTGGGAAATTGAGGGAAAATATCAATATTTGATGAATTGCAGGCAAGGAATAAATTATTGATGGTATGTGGTTAAAGAGACAGTGAAACTGAAAATGCCAGAGCTAAGCTTTGGGTACAAGGCACACATGGCTTTAATGTTCTGAATAAATGCCTGTGTATTAGAGTGGCATACATGTCTCTGTGCAAGAAGAAGAAAAGGACAAGATCACAGTCATTTTTCTCCTCCTCTCTTTCCCTGTTGCACTGTAACCCCTTGTATATTTCCTAGAAATATAAATACATTGTACCACATTTATCCCAAATAATGCTGGGCAGAAAAATCTTGTCCATGTTTTTTTTTTTTTCAATACTTCTCTGCTTAGTTTGAGAATATTTTGATAAAATCTTCCTATGTGAGGTACTAGGTTGCTGCAAGATAGATTTGCTGTAGATTATTATCTTCCATTAATTTGCAGCGTCCATGATTTTCCAGCCATCAATTCACTCTCTAGGGAAAGTCATGATGGAATTCCTCCTATGTTATTTTTTTTCCCCCAGAAGCATAGGTGATTAAAGGAAGTTGCAGACTTCTGGAGGAAAAGTAACTACACCAGCACCCACATCATCACAATAAGCACCACACAGCATGAAAGCCTTGTAAAAATGAGATTGAAAAAAATAGAAACTCCTTTTGAGGAAAAGGCAACTTTTATTGATTTTGGCGGCATTGATCTTTGTAGTGCTGTTCTTCACTGTAGAAGGGAAAAAAGCATCAAAAATTATGGTTCCTCTGCAGCCTGTAGCATACCATATTAAGTATATTATGTCATGATTGTCCTCTGAACTTGGGATTCACTATTATTAAGCATGAAAATTATCAGCCATATGACCATTTAATTCATGCATCACTATTAACTCGCTAAGTGAGGTCATCTGTGCAGAGGGACAAAATGAGTTTACCATAGTCAGTGAGGCACAGAGCAGTTGTTCATTTGACTATAAGCACTGACCTCTGGACTTGTGTGCTCAAATATCCTATGAGGAACTTTAGAGCAGACGTCCCCAACCTTTTGGGCACCGGGAACCGGTTCCATGGAAAAAGGTTTTTCCACAGACTGGAGAGTGTGTGGTTTTGTGTGCTGCCTGTATCCCACTTGTTTGTGTGGACTGGTTTCTGGCATGCTGCAGCCCGGTACCAGTCCACAGACCGGGGGATGGGGACCCCCGGCTTTAGAGTCATGTGGTAGGCAATAAATGCAAATAAAATAAAAAAGAAACGCATATATATTTGTGCCACGTGCCTTGAGTGATAGTGTTTGGATGCTGATTTTGTTTACCTCTGAATTCTAATTAATTCTTAAACTTGCTAGCCTCAAAACACTAAGAATAGGATGGGAATAACCAGAGCCAATTAGTGTACCCACATGCCAAACAGGAGGAAATGGGGAAACTAACATTCAGTCAGTGCCCCATATCTTGAACTATGACAGCTCCTGGAGTTAGGAAAATCCTGTCAAATTGCTAACCAACCGCCACATCTACTGACTTCTGTATATGCTGCAGCATTTACTAACCCATTGGTTTTTTTTTTAAAAAAATCTGATGCTAGAACTAAGGAGCAGCTGCCTGCCATAAAGACATCATTTTTCCTAAGTAGAAATTCCCACTAAATCTGGGGTGATGGCATGCCCCATTCTTCCTCAGTTAGATGCTTTTCCCAATAGCTAAAACATGGTAATTGTAATTACTAAACAGTATCTATGTTTATGGAATAGGTGAAGAGAGGCTCATTTAAATCCAGAGGGGGGGAGTAAAGGTTAGGGTATATAAATATACTGTACCCTATAAATAGCTGTGTGCTCCTGACCTAAATCAACAGAGAAATTCACGCTGAGCATTTTTATACAGTAGATTGACAAATTGAGCAGAAAGTAACCAGATGAGTTCAGATGGTAGAACTAATCTAGACTTCACGGTAACCCTATCTCTGAACCTGCTCTGAAATCTATAGAGGGCTCTGAAGGCAGGATGAGAGAATGGGAAAACAGCCCCACCCAACCCCTTTGGACTCCAGCTGCTAAAAGAGAAGAACACAGAAATACAGTGGTGGGTTGCCGGTGCCTCTACTGCAGAAATGCTGCATTTGGAGAGTCTCTTTCTTGAGATCATATTTTGCTCTGCATTGTATTACTTATTACTTAACTCTATTAAATCATGCAGTCAAAAATCACGCACTAAAAAAAGATTACACCGACAATGCCATTCGATATTACAGGTGTAGTATACCTGGGGGGCCCTTCCCCTATTTTATAGCACTATAAACTCTCTCCTCCCCCATATTCCTTGCTACTGACCATAGTGATCAGAATCAGAACAACGGAGTTGGAAGGGACTTTGAAGGTTTTCTAGTCCAACCCCCTGCTCAAGCAGGAGGCCCTATACCAGGGGTAGGCAACCTTGGCTCTTTTATGACTCGTGGACTTCAACTCCCAGAATTACTGAGCCAGCATTTCAGATCAGGGTTACCAGGAGTTATAGTGCATTGATGTCCCCCCCCCCCCTTGTGCTTGGTAATCCACTCAGGGTTATCCAAATAACTGTAGCATTTATGCCAGAAAACCCAAATGGCAACAAATGTAAACAGTTAAAAGTATTTGCTACTGTTTAATAAAACCTCAATGTCTAACTACCTCACTTATCTGAAAAAAAAATGTTCCTTTGAAATGTTGCCAGACTATTCCTTCAGACAAAATGATAATTCCCATCCACCCCTTTCAATATGTATATCTTTGGGGAAAATCATTCTTCAGGGAGCTCAGCAGAAAGATAATTAATATTTGTTTCTGAATCGGAAGCTGTGACTTGGAGTGACGAAGGAGATGGCTTATTGCTTTCTTCCCACCCAAAGAATTTTCAAATGCAAGGCAACACACCGTAAATGGGACAAGTTTCAGTGTTACAGGGCAGATCACAATATCATTCATTCTGACCTAGGACTAGGTTGGTATCATCCACTTACATAACCTCCATCACTGTCTGGTATAATGATATGCAGCATTTAAGCATCACCCCATATGCGTGGGCAAGGGGAATACGGAAAACAGAGAGCAAATTAGTCCCATACGGTTAAGGGAGTGGTAGAGGAAGCAACCTTGAGATCACCTTCCCATTTATTTCAGATCCTCATTTCTAGAAAACTCTAATAGACTCAACTAGTATATCAGGTTAAGGAAAACATAATTATGTGCAATTATTACATTGCAAAACAAACAGAAGCAGGAATCAGCAAGTATTGGGAAACAATGGGAAAATCCTGTTGTAAGAAAGTCCTGTACTACACTGGCTTACTGTATACTCCAATCAATGGGGACATCTATTTAATACAATAATAAAAGTGTTATAGCAAATACAGTATATGCTACTTTGTTAAGGGCATTTCTTACCACAGATAGCATGATACAATCCAATAGGAGGAGGACAAAAGTGATACTGGTGTATAGATAATATGGCAGCCATCTTGTTTCCCAGGCAGCAGCGAAAAATAGCCATGTCATGAGAAAAGATGCAGCTGCTGTAAAGAGTTGTGAAACAGTGTTATGTTCATATCCTCACCAACCCCAAAGCATATTCTCCAAATTATTTCTTAATTACCACACAGTCCTAAAAAAATAATTCTTCTGTGATTCTCATGTGTCATTGTTGCCCCTTTTCCTTCTTACACAGAAAAAGTTGTACTCCAAATCTATTAACACCCACTCCTATCAGTATCAGGGTGTA